ATGTTTATAGCAGCAATGTCCACAATAGCCAAACTATGGAAAGAGCCTAGATGTCCATCAACAGATGAATGGATAAAGAAGATGTGGTACAATGGAATATTATGCAGCCATCAAAAAATGAAATCTTGCCATTTGCAACGACATGGATGGAACTAGAGGGTATTATGCTAAGCGAAATAAGCCAATCAGAGAAAAACAGTTATATGATCTCACCGATATGTGGAATTTGAGAAACAAGACAGAGGATCATAGGGGAAGAGAGGAAAAAATGAAACAAGACAAAACCAGAGAGGGAGACAAACCATAAGAGACTCTTAATCTCAGGAAACTGAGGGTTGCTGGAGTGGAGGAGGGTGGGAGGGATGGGGTGGCTGGGTGATGGACGTTGGGGAGGGTATGTGCTATGGTGAGCGCTGTGAATTGTATAAGACTGATGAATCACAGACCTGTACCCCTGAAACAAATAATACATTATATGTTAATAAAAAGAAAAAAAATTATAGCTCTTATATGTGGGAGAAACCAAAGCTTTGCATAGTGTTTTTATATGCCAGAGGGACTTCATTTTGCTAAGTATAACTATTTGCACTGAAAGACTCAAACCAACCTGGAAATCACATGTAGACAGAGAGCTCTAAAAAAATCACAGTTTTTATAGTACACCAAAGTTATAAAGCCAGGTAATTCCAGTTCTCACCAGTTCACCATAATAAGAAAATGTATGCACTTCCTCTACTAGTCCTTGTAGAAAAAGAAAGATCTTACTGAGTAATACTCATATATAAGGAGCACTAGAATTTTACAGATAGTCCAGTAGAATTGGATATGGATGAGGAATCAACTTCGTGGTCTGGTTGGCAGATAGGAAACAAAGTTTACAGGGTTTTGGTTTCCAAGGTCGTATACAAACATTTTCCCACCTATGACTTGCCCAAGTTAAAATCAGTTAAAATTATTTTTTGAGATATCAAATCAGTGGTGTCGGTGATGTTGTGAGAGAGAACAGTTCATGTGCCGTGCAGACAAACTTGAAGTGGTTCTCAAACTGTGGCCCCAGGGAAGCAGCATCAGCATCATCTGAAAACTTGTTAGAAATGCAAGTTCTCAGGTGCCACCGAAGACCTACTAAATCAAAATTCTGTGTGGGGTTTCTGAGTTTCAACATGCCCTGCAGGTGATTCTCATGCATGCTCAAGTGTGTGAACCACTGTTCTATGAAATGGGTCCTTCCAAAAATCCCAGAAATTTGACTTCTTTTTTTTTATTTTATTTTTTTATTTTTTTTATTTTTTTGAAGATTTTATTTATTTATTTGAGAGCGAGAGAATGAAAGACAGAGAGCTCGAGAGGGAAGAGGGTCAGAGGGAGAAGCAGACTCCCCACTGAGCAGGGAGCCGATGCGGGACTCGATCCCGGGACTCCAGGATCATGACCTGAGCCGAAGGCAGTTGCTTAACCAACTGAGCCACCCAGGCACCCAAGAAGTCTTTTTGAGGCCTGCATTGTCTGTCCTCTAATAGACACACCATACATTCACTCTTTTTTTTTTTTTTTAACCAAATCTCATGTAGAAAACAGTTCCAGAGAATTTAGTTGTATTTTGGTTCTTATTATTGACATTTACTTTATGATGGCAGGTGGTCATCTTCTTAGAGAAAATCTATAGCAGATCAAGAGACAAGAAAAATCTGTGTTGATTTTATGTCTTTGTTTTTTATTCCTTTTTGTAGGTTTGGGAAAAGTCAGTGTTAGAATAAAGTAAGTGTTATGAGGGTCTGTTATCTGCTAGATACAGAAGGACACATAGAAATCAGAGTGATTTGCTATAGAAGTTGCATTCTTACTAGGAAGACTTGTTTTCGGGCTACTTTAATAAGCTTGTAAGATCACTTTTTTCTTTCTGGTTAAAGTCTGATGACCATGATGGATCTGAAATTGAGAGAATAAAACAAGAAATAGCTCAGTTGCGCAATAGCGTCTTTCAGGAAATTTATCGTGAGCAGGAGGAATATGTAAGTATTTAATTCTTTGAAGTTTTGAATTAGTTTTTATTGTAGAAATTGAATTCATATATCCATTTTATGAAGTGCACTATAATGACAAGACTGGAGATTATATTAGCATAGTTATGTTTGCATAGTAATGTTTATGTGAATTTAGAAATTAATTTCTGATGATAATTAATAACCATTGTACCAAATGTGGAAATTACAGAAAATTATAAAGAAGAAAAAATACCACCTGTGACTTTTCCATTCAGTTATAACAGTAGTAGTCCCTGTTAACTTTTCACTTAACTTCCTTTTTAGTCTTTTTTTCTGAGATTATAGCAGAAACATACTTGTACATACTGCTTGATTTCTGTTTCACATGGAGCTGAGATTTTTTCCTTTAATAAAATCTAAATCAACACTCTTTTAACCTAATGCTGCAATGAAAACATTAATGGGCAGCATAATTTAGTTGAAGAATACAACAAAATGCAACTACCTGAATTTTGGGGGGAAGTTACATCTTTTTTTAAATTTTTTTTTTTAAAGATTTTATTTATTTATTCATGAGAGACAGAGAGAGAGAGGCAGAGGGAGAAGCAGACTCCCCGCGGAGCAGGGAGCCCGATGCGGGACTCGATCCCAGGACTCTGGGATCACGACCTGAGCCGAAGGCAGACGCTTAACCGACTGAGCCACCCAGGCGTCCTGGGAAGTTACATCTTTAAGTCTCCACTTTTATGCTAATATTTTGTGACCTTGGGAGAGTCTGTCAGTGTATTTTCTCTTTAAAAGGGAAAGAATATGAGGCGCCTGGGTTGCTCAGTCTGTTGAACGTTAGACTTATGATTTTAGCTCAGGTCATGATCTCAGGGTTGTGAGATCAAGCCCTGCATCAGGCTTTGCACTGGGTATGTAGCCTGCTTGGGATTCTTTCTCCCCCTGCCTTTCCCCTCCTGCTCGGCATGCAGCCTCTCTTTATCTCACAAATAAATAAATAAATAAATGGAAGTGATACATTTTATGTTTCAGGGATGTTATGGGGGAACAAGTAAGGTGGACACTGCTTTGAACAATAAAAATACAATGAAAATAATAGGCAGTCAGAGAGGGAGACAAACAGGAGACTCTTAACTTACAGGAAACAAACTGAAGGTTGATAGAGGTAGGGGGAGTTCAGGGGATGAAGTAAGTGGGTGATGGACATTAAGGAGAGCACTTGATGTAATGAGCACTGGGTGTTATATGCAACTGATGAATCACTGAATTCTACCTCTGAAACTAATAATATGCTATATGTTAATTAATTGAATTTAAATAAAATAAAAAAATAATAGACATTCTAAGTGTTATGTTTTATTTAGCAAATTCATCTGACTGTGTGTGCTTAGTTACTCACCTTATGAACCTTGGATAAAATAGCTATCTCCCAGTGAGTTGACAAGTGTCTAGAAGTTTTACTTAATAATTGTGACAAAAACTTTTCTAAGGATCCTCAGTTTTCACATTTGCTTCAAAGTGGCTTTTGTAGAGCTGCGTATTTGCTGCTTCTTTCAAGGCTTTCCCCCTCCTAAATGAAATAGCTATTATTTTAAAATGTCAGTGTATTCTTAATATTCTGAGAAATGACAATTTTATGATGCAAATTGATGTTATCAACATACATTTTCATTTTAGCTTGGAAGTGAGTGTGTACTTTGATCTTAGGCAAGATATTGTGCCTATATATATATACCAATATAAAATTGATAATTAAGTTTTTGTTCTGGTAGTAAGCTGGTAACTTTGACCCAGGGTGACTCTTGGTTTTCATTTGATATCTCTTTATGTATTTATTTATTTGACAGAGAGAGACATAGTGAGAGCAGGAACAAGCAGGGGGAGTGGGAGAGGGAGAAGCAGGCTTCCCGCTGAGCAGGGAGCCTGATGTGGGGCTTGATCCCAGGACTCTGGGATCATGACCTGAGCCAAAGGCAGACACTTAATGACTGAGCCACCCAGACGCCCCTCATTTGATATCTCTTGTAGTAGAAGGCAAAATCAGTGATTATATATTTTATTAGATTATACATCTTATTAGATTGTGTATTTAGTTAGATTTATAGTAAGTGAGATAGTGGTATGTTATTTTTTCCTGAAGAGCAACATGTCACAATTGAATATATGTTGATTTATAATAAAAAATATTTTTTAAATTTAGGAGAAGCTGAATAGCCTGGTACAGAAATGGTTCCCTGAGCTGCCTCTGCTTTATCCTGAAATAGGGTTACTTAAGTACATGGTAAGCTTTGTTGCCCCTGAGAATTACTACTCCGTAGAGGGTTGAAAAGTGATGATATTAAATTGTGTGTCAGTGTTAAATTTATGCTGTCCTTACTATGAAGATTTCCTGATGAATAGTTTCTGGGTATTGTTAGAACTTTTCCTCAAGACTATCTTTAGTATTCGCGTATTGTATTCTAACGTTTATATTCATTTGCATGTTTTTCTCTTTTCCTCATATCTATTCAGTACATTGCATGACACTTGTTTGAATTACAGGTATTTATTTCTTGAAATGATAAAGCAATTTTAGCTGTTGTTTCAAGAGTTAGAATAAAGGCAGGACACTGCCAGTCATGAGGAATTTAAGCAGAATATATCTTTTAGGTTAAAGCAGGCTGGGAATTCTAGAGAATTGGTTAAGTAGAGATGTGGACATGGGCATAGTTTTCTAGGCAGGCAGGATTCAAAGCCTGGGAAATCAGTGTATTGGACAGAAGGCCTGTATGGAGCAGGATTAGTAAACTCTGGCTCTCAGGGCAGAATCTGTTAGCTCTGTGTTTTATATTGCCTGCTAAGGATGAGGGACTAGATGAAAGATCTATTCTTTAATATTGTCATTAAATTCATGATAATAGCTTAAAGATAGTACAGAAATGGCTGTATTTATAGAGTTATGAACTCATGAATATGTAAGATTAAAGTCCCCTTAAATTGTTAAAGCAATTACTGTAAAATTTTTCCAGACTAGACTTTAAAATAATGTGGGATTTTCTTCACAGTTCTTTAACTTTAGCTTAGACACTAATGTAGGATGGATGAGTGAGTATGTGGTGCTGTGTAGGACTTGAAAATTAGTTTTTAGAAGTGTGCTGATCTCTTTATTGTGAAAGATTATAAAATGTTTTAATCATAGCTGATGGACTCCTTTAATGATTTTAAGATGTTTGAGTGATGTATGCCCAGGAAACCTCTGTAGATTGATTATATTTTGTGGTTTACTTAAATAATATTGACAACACATAAAAATAAAAGCCAGAAAATAATTTCACAGCCCCTCTTACTAAAATTACACCACAATAAAATTTACCTTGATCTAAATTGTTGATAGGTTTTATCCAAAAAATGTATTCCTTTTAAAAAGTGGCAGAAATACCTAATAGAATTAAAATATTTGAAAACCATTTTCACTTTCAAGGATTCCACTTCAAACAGAGGCAGAGGTGTTAGAATTACTTCATAGTAGTCATAATTTTTATACTTCTCATTCCTATTCTACAGCCTTCTTTTTATCTGTCATCATTTTAATATTTTTAGGAAACACATGAAGTCTTCCAAGTAAACATCAGGGTTTTTGGATACATATCTGGTTAATCCCAATCATATTCGGAATTTGTTCTACAACTGTAGCAGCCGCTAAATGTATGTTGATTACAGTTTGGGTGAGAGGACTTCAAGAGCCAGGAACTGGAAAAATCAGGAAGCTTTCAGTATTTTTATTTTACTGGTTTCTCCAGTAGGGTTGATGATGTCCAAATCATCTCATGGCATGTAACTAGTTATGTTGATGATTTAAAAGTACTGGGATGGTTTGGATTCTTTAACTGTAATAAAAATTTGTGCCTAGAACTCTGGTGGTCTTCTTACTATGAGTTTGGAACGGGATCTTCTTGATGCTGAGCCCATGAAGGAACTTAGCAGCAAGCGTCCTTTAGTTTGTTCTGAGGTTAATGGGCAGATAATTCTTTTAAAGGTAAGTTTAAGTTCTGACCTGTGGAAGACTCAGAAGTATAAAGAGGAGTTGGTGGTATTATTTTCAGGAAAGTAAAAATCCACTGCTTGTTTTCTAAATTGTATGAGTTGAGGGGCGCCTGGGTGGCTCAGTTGGTTAAGCATCTGACTCTTGATTTCGGCTCAGGTCAAGATCTCAAGGTCCTGGGCATGGAGCCTGCTTGAGACTCTCTCCCTCTTCCTCTACCCTTCCTCCCTCTCACACCTCTCTCTCCTCCCCCCCCTTAAAAAAATTATATGAGTTAACTGGCATGATGCTTATGTTTCCTACTTGGTTGCCAGAACTAATTTTGAATTCAGAGTTTCCCTCATTTTCTTAAATAATACGTATCTTTAATAGGATATACTTGGCTTTTCTTTTTTGGGTGAACTTATTACATTCTATCCAGTAGCCTTTTAAAATTCTTGCTTTACTTACACTGCTCTTTGAAATTACAGCTGTTTTGCCAGTACAATTTTCTGTTCTTTGATTTCTTTTTTGAGCTGGGAAACTGTTAATCATAATAGGATAATTAATTTGGCCCTAGTAGCAATGCATTATAGAATGTATATTAAGGTATAGGTAGACAGTCTGAGGGTTTTAGAGGGGAGGGAGGTGGGGGGATGGGTTAGCCCAGTGATGGGTGTTAAGGAGGGCACATATTGAATGGAGCACTGGTTGTTATATGCAAACAATGAATCCTGGAAAACTACATCAAAAACTAATGATGTAATGTATGATGACTAACATAAAATAAAATAAAAAGGTATAGGTAGAATTGTTCTTTCCTTTCTAAATTATAGCATTCAAGGCAAATAGAAAAGGTACTTATACAATTAAAAAATAAAATTAGATATAATTTAAATTATATAAAAATCACTATGTTTAAGTTGAAATAATGTGTAATTAGAGTAAGATTTTTAATGTTGGAATTACCATTGCATCTCTTTTTGGTACCAGGGCTATTCTGTAGATGTGGACACAGAAGCTAGGGTGATTCAGAGAGCAGCCGCCTATCACAGAGCTTGGAGAGAAGCTAAAGAAGAGTCTGGGTTACTACCATTGATATTCCTATTTTTGTGTAAGGTAAAGTTCTTAGCTAATCTCTTGCAGAAAACATTTTATTTATAATAAGTTTTAGCTCCAAGCTTTAGAGAGGTAGTCCATTCCTTTTAACATAAAGTTATCTTGTATAATTGATGTATACTAAAAATACATTGAAGAATTTTTCACTTTGAGTTTCATTCTGTTTTGCTTTTAGTCTGATCCTATGGCTTATCTGATGGTCCCATACTACCCTAGGGCAAACCTGAGTGCTGTTCAAGCCAGTGTGCCTTTAACTTCAGAAGTAAGTAAAAAACACTATTTCCATGGATATATTAAATGAGAAAATAACCCCTAATATTAGAGGGCATAGTATATGCTTTATATACTATGTAAAATTTTGACTGGTATTATGCTATGTAATTGTCACATCAATCCTGTGATGTGAGTTATCCTGTTATATATAGATGAGAAAAATGAGGCTCACAGAGATTAAGTGACTTGCACAGGGTCCTCAATAAGAGGCAGAGATGGGAATTGAAATTAGGTCTTTTGGTACCAAAGCCCATGCTTATAACCATGAAGCTGTGCTGTATGTAAATTGTGTAGTATAGCACTTGATATTATAAGTGCTTAAGTGACAGCTTTAATTTACATTGTAAATTTGAATTAGTAATAAAAATAGAGGATGCCTTGATTCTTCTTACCTGGTAACAGTATTTAGTCTCTTTTCTAGATGCTATATATGCTCATTTGTAATCTAAGTCTTCTTAGAGACTCAGTGTTTTAAGTTATATGTGTATGATGTTACATAATCAGGGCTTCTGGTCTTCTATTTTTTCTCTATGCTGTATTCTTATTAAAGGTTCATTTGGAAGAAGCTTTACTCACTCCTGGAAAAGTCTTTTAATTAAAGAAAAGGTTCAGATATTAAAATGATTTGCCGACTTCCTGACATCTTTTGTGTGTACTTATCTGTAGGAAGCTTTAAAGGTCATGAAAGGTGTTGCCCAGGGCCTGCATATATTGCACAAGGCTGACATAATTCATGGATCACTTCATCAGAACAATGTATTTGCTTTAAATCGTGAACAAGGAATTGTTGGAGATTTTGACTTCACCAAATCTGTGGTAAAGTATTGTGGTTTTACAAATAGGTTCTAGACCTCATTAATATTATTAGACATTAGTTCAGCCTTTTACATGATATGGTAATTTATTATAAGACCTCTGTCTTGGTTAAGGTATGTAGTGTCATGTAGTGTAAGCCACTAACTGTTACCAGCTAGGTGCTAGGACAAGAGTTTCTAAATTTGTGCATTATATATATATATATATATATTTTTTAAAGATTTTATTTATTTGTTAGAGACACAGCGAGAGAGGGAACACAAGCAGGGGGAGTGGGAGAGGGAGAAGCAGGCTTCCC